AAAGAATATTCTAAAAGATGTGTCTTTATTTTCAATTTTCAACGGAGGAGCACAACTCCCCACTGTTTTTGTAAAGTCATAAAACCAGTATTTTCGAAAAACAAGAAAAATTTCTATTTCCGTTTTGAATTTTAATTATAATCCATTATGTCAAAAGTTGTGTTTTTACGTGTTCTAAAAGTTCTATACCTATAATAGAATAATCAAAAAAAAATTTATATAATAGTTTTGATCGAAAAACAAAACCTGGACCACAACTCCCCACTCTCCCTTATTTATTTTACAAACATTTAAATTTTTAAATTTGTTCATTATTTAATCTTTAGTATTTCAAAGTAAAAAAAATATTAATATAATCAGTTTTATTTAAATAAAATATTAATTAGTTTAAAAATATATCTGGATTAAAATGTTTTTATTAAATTTAAAAAAAAGTACCAAAGATAAAACATCTCCTTCCTTTATTAATTTCTTAAAAATAACATTTTCCAGCAGGTATAGAATCATTAAAAAATAAACCATAAGAAAAATAAGTGTATTCATTTGTTAATTATTTTCAATTAGATCATTTACTTAAAATTATTAGATGGAAGAAAACAATATACAAACACTATTTCCCGTCTATTAATGTTTTCATGTTATTTTATGTCCACTGTAATCCACATGAAAAATACTTACATTCAAGAAATTTTAATAATCATTGTTTGCTTTCTTGCTCATAACACAGTTTTCCTAACATATCAAATGAATACAAAAAACATATCAAAATTTTTGCGATGCAACGTTTTTATAAGTTTATGTCTGAATTTGATGTGCTTAGAGCAATCCCTATTGAAAAACCCTATATGAGGAGCTGGATATTAGAACTCGCTCTCCACACGGCTGAACTCCGTAGAGCCAGTCAAACGTTCGAAAAAATGAAAAAAATTGAAATTCAAAATTTTGACTTTTAAAAATACTACATTGTAGGAAATTGAAAGGCGCATCTTTTTTCTCTTTTAAATTTTTTAATAAAACGAATAGTTTAGAGACCAAAAACCGAGAAATTTAAATTGTTAAATTTAATTAAGTTTTAAAACATAAATCATCGTATCTCCGACAATTATTAATGAATTTGATTCAAATTTGATATCTACACGTATTATGGTCTACTGAAGGCGACAAAATAATAATAAATTAAAAAATTATTAATTGTGTAAATTTTTTAAAATAAAAATTGAGACCAGTTGATGATAACGTTTTCTTACTTTCATCGTCAAAATGTCTGCGGGGAACTTTGTAGTTGAGAAAACTTCCAGTGAGACATTTGTTTATCACTATATAAGGAAGTTTTCTGTAAAATATTAAATAAATTCATAGAAAACTTTTAAAGTTATTGAAGTTGTAAGAAAGCGCGGTTAGCGCGCAAGTAAGTAAGTTTTTACAGAAAACTTCCTTATATAGTGATAAACAAATGTCTAACTGGAAGTTTCCTGAACTACAAAGTTGCCCGCAAAAATTTTGTCGATGAAAGTAAGAAAACATTATTATCAACTGGTTTCGATTTTTATTAAAAAAAAATTTAAACAATTAATGATTTTTTAATTTTTTTTATTATTTTGTCGCCTTCAGTAGACTATAATACGTGTAGATATCAAATTTGAATCAAATTCATTAATAATTGTCAGAGATACGATGATTTATGTTTTAAAACTTAATTAAATTTAACAATTAAAATTTCTCGGTTTTTGGTCTCTAGAAACTAAACTATTCGTTTTAATAAAAAATTTAAAAGAGAAAAAAAATTTCACCTGAAAAGAAAAATATTTGTTATTTGCAATACACCTACTGAGTTAAAGTCTCAGCTTTTATAGTATTCCAGACTGATCTCAACTGTAAAAGACACAATATTATCACCATTTGGCGGAGTAGGTGTGGAAATATAATGATCTACATTTATATTAAAATTAACCATATAATTTCCTACATAATATCCTATATAATTTCCCATATAATTTCTCATATAATTTTCTACATATATTAGGAAATTATATAGAAAATTTTATAGATAATTTTAATAATGATGTAGATCATATTGATATATAATTTCCCTTTTAATTTCTTAGATAATTTCCTATATATTTGTAGGAAATTTGTAACGAACTTCGCGAGACTTTAGATATTTTAAATTAAATAGAAAGTGGGGGTTCGGCTCGCGATAGCCGATACAAATAAATTGAGCGAAAAACCAAGCGAAATCCAAAACTCAAAAAAGGCGATTCGACCTGCGACGCAATCAAATGAGCAGCTGCGAGCAATTGATCCGAGACGAGTCCATACAGATGAGGAATAGAGATCGATTGATCGAACTTACCAGTTCGCAGATCGTCGAATCGCTGTGGCGCACATCGGAGTTCCTGAAGGATAATCCTTGGGATGTGTGAACACAAAATAAACAAAATATTATATTGAACAAACAAAATATTTAATGAAATAAAATGCGCGTTTACAACAATTTATAAAGATGCGAATCAGCGCATCGATTACGCGCGAAAAATCATGACGGAAGGTGCTTCTACGGTAAGAAGTCTCGGTTCTCTCTGATGAGAGGATCGACCGCAATCGTCATCGTGACCCATGACATCCTTCGTATATGGCACGATGACACCCGAATATATGATTCAGTTAACGACCGATCATTGTCGTAGACAATTACGCTTACGGCTGACGCGAGAAATTAGGAAGTAGGGAAACAACCGGGAACGGCATATTTATCCGAGGAGATAGAAAACGATATGGATTGTTACAAATTATATGGGAAATTATATATAAAATTATATGGGTAATTTCAATATAAATGTAAATCATTATAGTTCCATACTTACGCCACCAGATGGTGATAATATTTTGTCTCTCTCAGTTGAGATCAGTCTTGAATACTATAAATGCTGAGACACTAACTCAGAAGGTGTATTGCAAATCACAAATATTTTTATTTTCAGATGAAATGCAGTGATATTATTTGATTTTTAATTAAATAATTTTTAATTTTTGAAAACTGACGTCTGCTTAAAGTATTCAATTGAAAATTCTCATATGAAATCCTATATTGTTTCCTTTATATAAATCTATGTGAAATCATATTTTTATACTAGTTTTCATATGAGATTCAACATGGGATTTTTCCAAGGAATTTTTTATCTATATAAACAAAATAAGTTATCACCTAGGATACAATATGGGATTTGACATAAGAATATATTAATTAAGGTTATTATTATGAATTTTTGTACGTTTTTATACAGAAAATTTCATAGGAAATTTATAAAGAATTAACATAGGGAATTGACATAAGATAATGTGACAGAAAATTTAGAGGAAATCACATAGGAATTCACATGATTTTTCAAATTGAAGTACATATGATAACTCCTATGTCATTTCCTACTTTAAATTCTGTTGCACTTTCCTACACGAATTTATATGGGATCCTATGGAAATTCAAGGATTTTATATAGTTTTTTTCTACTGGGAAATTTTATCGTATCCAATATAGGATCCTATATGGGATTTTTCAATAGGGATGTATGTTCTTTTGATACCTCAAGAACATGTCAGGGACATCCAAGTTTTTGTTTTACGTAATATCCACGTAATATAGTAGTTTCATAAATTTTCAAGTCAAAGTTAATGTCAAAGTCAATATCAAATCGAAAGTCAAAGTGAAATTACAAATCACATCACAGTATTTTCGAAAAACAAAAAAAATTTTTATTTCCGTTTTGAATTTTAATCAATTATGCCAAAAGTTGTGTTTTTATGTTTACTAAAAGTTCTATATAATAGAATTGTCAAAAAAAAATTTGTGGATAGTTGTATAGTTTAATAGAAAAGTATGATTATTACTATTCCATAGGAATTTTTACTAGAATCTCAGCACCATTTTTTCTCGTATACTGAATGATGACAGCTAGATAATGCTATTTTGTAATCTATATCGTGGATGAAGCATGTAAAGTGACCTTTCAAACTAGTCGAATATACTAACTATTTGGTAGAAGTCACATTTTTAACACATTACATACGCGCGATTTTCTCCGTAATATTTAGGTACATAAAATCAGTATGTTTAACAGGAACATTTTATGTATGCATTTCGTAGTATTTGTATAAACCGAATTCTATAATTCATTTTCCTCAGTAAAAGATTCTTCATTAATACCATTAATTAAAATAAAAATTCGGACAAGTGCGAGTTACACTCGCATTAAAACCGAGAGTTTCGTACCCTTAAGCCTAAAATTGAAGGGAGTTAAAGTGTGAAGGCAGGTGGAAAAATTCCAATTTTGCTTAATTTTTCCTGTAATGTGAGCATGAAAACACATAGATAGACACATAGTCACATATATTGAAAATTATCAGTTTTTCCTTGAAAACGCTATGATTATCAACTCCAATCATGCTTACTATATATGTTTCTTGTAATCTACACGTAGAAATACGTAAAAATGTATAAATTTGAAGCCCTTTAGATAAAATTTTCTTCTTTTTTTATTCGAAAAATCCATGATTTTTTCTAAAAATATGAGTTTTCCTTAAAAACAATATGATCATCAATTCCATTCGTTCTCGCTATTTTTATCCTGTAATCTATACGCAAAAATACGCATGTATATACCAAATATGATCTATCTTGGTCAAATAGTGTGTGCGTTAGGAGAATTAAACGCATTTTTCAAAATTTTTGATTTTTCCTTGACAATGCTATGTAAATCGATCCGAAATCATGTTCGATATATTTTTCCTGTAATTTTCACGTAAAAATACATAAGTGTACCAAATTTGAGCTCTCTATGTAAAAAAATGTGGCCACCAGAGGGGGGGGGGGGGTACATAGTCATTTTTAGGGATTTTTCGTAAAAATTCATGGTTTTTCTTTGACAACATGTGCTTACATTACACATCAAATTCTGTTAACTATTAAAAAATATTTAACCAAGTGAAATTAGTAGAGATAATACCTTTGGCGTTTTCTTTCTTGAAGCTCGATAAATTGTGCAGGTAGCTTGTAATAAACAGAGAGCTACTAATGCTGTGAGACATCCAATAATAGGATAAAACTGTGGCGATTCCCAAAAAGACTTCTTTGAAACTTCATTTCGATTTTCTTGAACATCCAGATCGTCGTCTATTAAATTGGCTGTAAATGATATTAACTCTTTAATATATATAACCATGCGATGGAATAATAATATAAAAACATTTAGAATTTGATTTCTAAATTTCAAGAAAGACTACTACATTAAAAAAATGTGAAATAAATTAACAATCAATGGGAGAAATATGATATAAGTAAGATTCCTTCAAGATGGATCTTTCATACTCATTGAAAGTAATATACAGTTTAGTTTTCGATTTCAACAATTATTCATTAATTCTTTATAGTAACTTATTGATTCAGGGTAGCGATTATGTAATTTGATTCCACTTTCATGACAAATTCTAATTCATTTCTACGTCAAATTTATTTTAATTTTGATGTCAAAGTCATTTAGTCAGTTTACGTAAAAACAACCAATTTAAAAGTCTATTTACTTTTATATAATTAATTAAAATTTAAGGGGTTACACCACTTTGACTGAATGAAAAAATAGTCACATTTTGAGTGGCAAAATATACATAGGTATCATAAATATAATTATTAAAGAATTTATTAAAATATTAATTTATTTATTTTAAAAAATGTTGACACTTGTTTCTTGATTTCCTAAAAGATATTATCTTGGTAGAAATTACCCTTATAAATCTTTTTGAATGGGGTGAGTTAACCCTGTGGTTTCGATTATAACCACTTTCACATCCGAACATTCATAATTTTGTTAAAAATTATTAAATTTTTGTTTATTAAACACCAAATTCTCACAAATTTGATGTGCTTTATGAAAAAAAAGTACACTAAGAAAAATGATATTGAAATCAATTTTTTGAAACAATAACATATTTTTTGAATCAAATTAAAATATATTAAAATAGAACAATTCATGATTTTAAACTAAAAGCCTAATGTTTTCTATAGAAACATTTTCAATAGTTGTGATAAAAATAGAATTTATTTTATCAAAGAAACATTATTTGATTTCAAATAAGTGTACTCATTATTCAAATAAAAAAGTTGTTGTATTAAAAAATAGTGTTTTTAATTTGTATAAAAGTATATTTGAAACAATACAAATTGCTTTCGATTCAATAGCACATGCTGTTGTTATAATAAACGGCATATTCACATACGTTCAAATGCAGATGCCATAAAATTGACAGTATACGTAGTTCAATTATAGAACCATTTATTCCATTATGTGGAATTAGAAATTTTTGTACTAAAATGCATTCCTTAACCAGAAATCACATTCCTACGATTTATTTTAATATAAATTAAACAATATTATTTTGATGATTTTGCACCTTCGTGGAGGAAGCTTCGTAGTCTTTTAGTTTATAAAATTTTTAAACATGGTGAAAATAAATTTTTTTTTATATAGAAACATGTTAAATGAGATCCTGATCAATAATTGTCCGGATGTATGTATGTGTGTATGTGTGTGTGGATCGTTTTTGTGAACACGATATCTTTAACAGGTTTTAGTGGATTGGATAAAATTTGGTAGGCTTATTTATCATATTAATCTCAAAAATGACGAGAGGATTTTTAAAAATACCCAAAAAAATAAATTTTATCGTCTTTTTTCAAAAATTTTTTTTTAATTGAAAAAATTTTTAAATAGAAAAATTTAAGGTAATATATAATATAATCGCTTTCCTTACATCAAGACGAATCGATTGGTATATATAAAATATAGATTTGATTGAAATTTAAAGAACTAATGAAAGTTAAAAAATTAAAAATTTACATTTTAGCTAAAAAATGTTGTGTTTATTAAAATTCAAGTTTATATATGGGCAAATCCACAGAACCGGCCGATTTTTACTTATCAAGATGAAAATTTTCCAAATAGCAAGCACACCTTTTATTTATGGTTTACTTTCTTTAAAATATATTCAAGAACAATTATCTTCTTGCGTGATTCATTTTATTTTAATGCCGTTTGAGTTAAAAGCCAAAAACGAAAATATTATTTTTCTTTTGGAAATTATAATTAAAAATGGCATTTCTTTGTTTTTTTTATATATTATTTAAAATATGTGCAAAACATTTTGAATAATAAAATATGATAAAATACAAATAATTAATTTTTTAATTATCAAAAATAAATTATTTTTATTTTATCATATTTTATGATATATTTTATTTATTAGCATTTAATTTTTTATTTCTGTAAATTAAATTTTTTACTTACTAATTTTGATATTAACTATTTTAACCAACAAACTGACCTCATTGACATCGATTTTGATATAACTTTGAAAATTTTTAATTTTTAATTTTTAGACGTTATAAATTGAAAATATAATTTGGCGTTTGCATACAAGAATTATATTAATGTCTTTATATAATCACACATGTTTTCAACTCATCATATTTTATCCTGTAGTTGTGCTACTGAAAAAAGGCTAAGTTGAAAATGGTTCACGCTTAAACATAGAGTGATAATTATTGGAATATTTTCTTTAATTCTGATTGCACTCTATTCTATGATACATACATTTGTTCGTCTGTTCACAAGCAATAAGCTCCAATTTGAAAAATTCAAATCGAATAATCGCCGCAAAAGATATTTACAAAAATGTATAGACATTTCATTATTATAAAATAATGAGTAACGGTACTTTCAACGACTATCATTTCTTTTTATTTAAGAGCACATATTTTTTATTACTTTCAAAACATTCTTCAATAAGTAAACTATAATTCACCACAGTTTGGAATTGTTCGGATCTATGCCGAACAAGTTATACCTATAAGAATTAAAATTTATACCTGGAGTAACACCGTAAATTTCATTTTTTAAGCTACTTAATTCGATTTTATTTTTTATAAAAGACTAGAAGGTTCACATTTATTCAATTTTCTTATTTCAATAGGTTCTCAGAGATATTACAAAATGGTTGAAGTATGAAAATAATTAATATAATACTTCTAAAATAGAAAAATATGTGAGTAACATGAAATCGGCTGGTTCTGTGGATTTGCCCATATAGAATAATTTTATTCCCTACATTAAAACGAATCGATTGGTATATATAAAGTATAGATTTGATTTAAATTTTAAGAATTAATCAAAATTGAAAAATCAAAAATTCATGTTTTAGCTAGAAAATTTTGTGTTTTTTTAAATTCAAGTTAATATATAAAATAATTGAATTCCTTGCATGGAAACGAATCGATTCGTATATATAAAGTACCTATATGTTACACCCAAAATGAATTAAAATTTTCTTAATTTTTCAAAAAATTTAATTAATTTAAATCAATTTTTAACTCGAAATGTTTTAAATCAATTAATTGAATTAGAGAAATTCATAGCTTTCTCCACAAGGAAGCAAATTTTTTGCTTCACACAATGAGCAAGCAAAATGTTTATGAAATAAACATAAAGGACCCCCTCCTTGTTTTTTAAGTATTATGTTCATTAGAAAACTGTAATTCAAAAATTTCAATAAAAAACTTTTTAAATTAGTCCGCCATTTGCGTCAGGCAATAAGATCGCTTGAGCACAAGAAAATTTTGTCTGTGCCGTATGAGGATGATTTTTTTTTCATTTTACAAATGGTTGTGTTTCATAGTGGTTAGGGTCTCGCGCTAGCGTCCGGCAAACCCGGGTTCGATCCCCCGTCCGTACAAATTTATTTTCAAAAATGTCCTGTGTTACACTGAGAAAAAAATGCTGTTGAATCAATGACATATGGATTTGATTCTATGAATAGTGTCATACCGGTCTGCCTAACGTGTATGTCATTGTTTTGAAAGCACCGATTTTAATGATTCGATAGTGTCACTGTCATTGAAACATAAGCATATTTCTTAAATTGACAGAAAACTATGTTAATGTAAAGGTATTTTTATTGAGTCAACAGAATATTCTTTTGAATCAAAGAAATAAATTTTTAAATTCAAAAGTATATGCTTTCGAATCTATAGAATATGCTTTTGAGTCAATGAAAAAAGTTTTTAAATTTAAAAGCATATGCTTTAAAATCCATAGTATATGCTTTTGAGTCAATGGAAAAAGTTTTTAAATTTAAAGCATATACTATAGAATCTATAGCATATACTATTGCTTTAATAGCACCATGCTATAAACTCAATCCTCTTATGAGGTTAAATGAAAACAACGATAAATTAAAAAAACTAATCTAAGCTTACAAATTTTTTATATATTATAATTATTTCTCATGTTCACACTTCTATATATTTATTTTTTTTTATTTCGCACTCTCACATACACACCACACCTATATATATATATATTTAAATCGAAAGAATTTACCCTTCCATACACACACACTCACACACATATATATTTTTTTTTGAAGCCTGAAAAACTTGGTATTCCTTAGTGGTCACCCATCAAAGTACTAACCGCGATCAACGTTGCTTAACTTTCGTGATTGACTAGAACCACCGAAGTCCAACGTAAAACAGTAGCTTCATAGCATTCAACGATTACTTTACAGTCTTTCGTCCTCAAGATTTTTTCATATTAAGTAAATAAAAGAATATTATTATTAATATTAATATAATTTAATTGATAATTAAATATTTTTAAGTTTTATGTTTCGAAGAAATACGAAAAATTATAAAATAGTAAAATAAATTTTTTTATAATTCTAAACATATCATATGGGTTTTTAAAATTTTGAACTTAATCAAAAAATAAAATTTTTATGAATTTATAAATTTTTATTTATAAGCTTTATATTATATATAAATAAAATTTTAGAAAAAGGGAAAAAAATCTTTTTATAGTTACATTTAAAAATCTATTATACAGATTGCCCGCAATGACGCCATTTATTACAATAATAATTTAATAAATTAAAAGTTTAGTTAATTGACATAATAAGTCATGTCATTATTTTGGTGACAATAGTTAAGAATGTTTTAATAAGTTGGGTATCAATGTCTCAAATGCATAGTGTCACGATTTTTATAGCATCTACTATAGGCAGCCCGCAATAACACCATTCATTAAAACGAAAGCATATGCTTTCGTTTCTAAGAGCTCGCTTCATTGATGTAAA